AAGTCTTCATTTGTGCTGCTCTGGTGGGAGGGGCCACGTACAGAGACGCTGGAGACGCTGCTGTGATAAACACCACAGAAAATTAACAATATTTTAATAGAAAATATAATTACAATATTTTAGTAGAAAGTCAGCTGAGGGCCAGATTAAAGGTCATGGAGGGCCGGATCTGGCCCCCGGGCCGTATGTTTGACACCTGTGGTCTAAAGAAAGGCACATATACATCAAGCTGATTACAGAGTGTTTTGAAGTTTTTAGCAGTAGAAGATTGTAGAAAATGTGTGTTCAAGGGCCAATTATATGTTTCAAGAAAATGCTAAGTGCTAGATTCTAAGTGCTAACTACCGGCCCGCCATTACAGAGCTATTACTGCTTGTTTCCAACGTGTTTGTTTAGCTATTTTATAGAGTATATTATAATATATCTTTTTCTTCTGTTTGTTTGTTTCAGGACCACACACACACACACACACACACACATACACACCCACACACACAAGTTCAACGTTTTTAGTAAAAGTCATAAACTTCATCATCTCTCATCGTCCATTCTTACCGATGCCCCCTGGTGGTCACAACAATTATAAGCCACACAACTAATTTCCCCATAACAGGCATGTTTCCATATTTCGACTGCCTCTTTAATCCAGTGACGGTGTTTGTTTTTCTCTGTCCCCAGTGATGTTTGCTCCATCCCAGTCCATAATGTGGTTCTCTCTTTTACAGTGTCAAAAAACGACCGATTTAAGTTGTTCTTGTTCTGCTTTATGTTTTGTTGCTCGTGTTTTGCCTTTGCGGTTTCCTTCTCACATTCTGCTCTATGTTCCTTTTTTCGTGTCCTAAACGCCCTCCCTGTATCCCCGATGTATATCTTATTGCGGGACATGGAGGATATTTCATTTATGACATTACATTTATGCTCCGGCTCTATTTTGTTTTTCGGGTGGACAAGTAATTGCCTGAGTTTTCTGTACGGTTTCACCTGGGATACTGTCCTGAGGAAGTTGGACTGCAAACGGTGCTGTCGTCCTGCCTTCACCGGTAGGAAGACGGCGCCAAAACCTGTATAAATCAGCTGACCGGACATGTCACAGCAACATCACGTGACTCTGAGGAAGACGGCGAGTGAGCAGTCGAAACTGTCAGGTATGAAAACAAAACTCTTGGTCTGAAAAAAGAACCTAACAACATAAAATATCAGAAGACCAAATGAACCTCATTCGACTAAAACTCCAGGTCTGTGTTTGAGGAGGTAACAACATTATAACACGGCATAAAGCTCACAAGAGGCAAGTTTGTGTAATATAGGACCTTTAAAGTGAGTGTGAAGTGCCTTAAAGCAGTGATGAGTGCGTCCGGAGTTGAACAGGAGGCTGGTTTTACGTACGTCTTACCCGTCTGTGAGGTTTGGTTGTAACGGGGAGGCTCAGTTCGTCCTGTGGGGAACATTGTGCGCAGTGGTTTGAATAAAGGGTGATCATTTTCAAGCGGATCTAATAACAACGCACAATATTTTCATTTGGTTTGCGATGAGAAAAATAGAGCTGTCTTTAGGCAAACTGGGTGTACTGAGTTGTGTTCAGTGACAGTGTGTGTGGCGCTGCTGATAAGGGCTTGGGCTGGAGAATAAGGATAATTATCTTTCAAAAACTCTCTGTCGCTGCCAGCACAAACAACTGTCATATGGAAGTCCAATTTAAATTCAGCAGTCTGTTAAAGGGCCTGTATTACACTATTTTCTGATTTATGTTATAATGTTGTTTCCTCATCACAGACCTGGAGTTGTGTTTTGTTTCATTCACACATGTTTAACTCACAAACCCTGCATATTTAGTTTCTCTCAAACAGAAAACACACGCCTTGCAATTGCCATTTTCTACTGAACAAAGGCCCATCCACACTATCTGTATTCGTACGTATTCGAGTCGTTGTCGTTGTGGATGCAGTGTTCGTCCACACTAATCCGATTGAAAACGAATCCAGAGACGGAACGATCTGGTGCCGCCAGTTCCCACGAATTCATCTAAGTACAGATCTGATCCGGCACCGTGTGGACGCCTGAAAACGCTGATACACTGACGTAGTTCTATGCGCCGCAAAGTAATTCACCGCAAAAACACTAAGAGGCTAGAATATATGTCCATTTATATATACGATCTGTGTCTTCGACCTGCAGATGTATAATCTCTGAAAAGTTTAACATGAACCATCTCCAACGCGATAGAAACACAGAACAGACTCACCATCAGCAGAACACCCCTCTGTCACAGAAAGAACACTCATATTCCATTGAGTCGTGTCCTTTAGTCCGACAGAAGCTGAACCGCATCAGCACAAGGAGCGAGCTGTTTTTTGAGCGCTCAGTTTATGCAAATTAGTCATGTGGTTTTAAGTTTTGTTTCTGTAAAACGTAAACAAATATGCTCAAAGCTGTGTGGTTAGGGAAGGATTGCGGACACAGAAACAACGGGTCTGGACGCAAATCGTTTCTGATACGATGATACGGTGATTCGTTTCAGTGTAAACGTAACCTAAAGGTAAGAGGTAGCCGTTAACTTGAAAACTACTGCTTCGTGACATCACAAGGTGGAACAGAGCATTTTGAGCTTTGGAGATGTGGACAGACTAACACAGGATTACTTAAACAAGTGTGACTGAAACAAAACACAACTCCGGATATGTTTTGAGGAGGTATCAACATTCTAACATGGCTTAAAGAGTCAATTTTGCATAATATAAGACTTTTAAGCATCATTGGCAGTTTTTGTACTACTAATATATTTTTTCAATATTTTTTATTCAGTGAGTAATAAACACTACACTAGTAATAATTTGTAGATCATTGTTATAAACTTTGACTAATATTTCTTGGGAAACAAAGGGTTAATATAATGGATTGGAAATGGACCAATTGCAATTCTTCTTCCAATAGTATCTGGGTAAATCAGTGACTCCCCCTGCAGGCACTGAACTAAAGAAACACCTGCAGGACCTTCGATGGCTGTAAAGAAGGCTCACGTAATACAAGTCAATGTGGGGATGAGTTTGAGTTTGACAGTTGTCTTAGCCAATCATATTACATTGAGTTATGGGCGGAATCATATCACGACATCTTCTGGGCGTTCACGAATACCCCTGTGATCGTAAATATAAGCGAGACTGCAGAGTCAAATAACGTACTGTTTTTTTTGGCGTATTATAAGACTTTTAAGCATCTTTAGCAGTAGTTCAAATTGTATTTTGACAAACAAAAGTATGAAAAATAAATATGTGTTCAACTTAAGATCTAATATCCCCAATTCCAACTAGTGATTTTAAATTTGATGGAAAACTACCATACATTCTGGACTATTGAGAGCACCTGAAACTAAATTTTAAAACTGCATATATAGGCCGCACCTGAATATAAGTCGCAGGTGTCCACGTCTTTAAGAATGTTTTCACGTTCAGGCCGTCTGCTTTTATCAGCTCTGAAATTTTCAGTTCGTCACGCTCCGTCGCCAATGTCTCACCATCGACTGGAGGATTTCAGAAGATTTCAGACTCTCTCGGGGGCGGGGATAGTTCTATCAGTCAGGTATGTCTGGCTACTGAAGTTTGAGACGGTTCTTCTCGCCATTTACACATACGGGTAAGACATATCCCCCTCACTAATGTTAATTTAGCATCATAATTTATTTTATTACATGGAGATAAACTATTTGAGTGCGCTGACAATATCGCAAGCTAAAAAAGTAGCAGCTTCTAGTCCGGAATTTACGGTAAACACCTAAATAAACACAAATTTTGTATGTTGGTGTTTTCAAATTTAGAACATCTCTTGGTAGCTGTACTATGTTCGCCTGCTTAGCCAGATTCACTGTCTTGTTTGGGGAGTTACTCATTCACAGCATCTTGTCCCACCATTTCCGTTTACTGACCAGTCAGATTCTTCACTCATGAAATTTGCCTGAAAGTCAGTGGTCAATCTGCCTAATTCAAACCAAACAAAATGAAGCCTGGTGCTACGGTTTGTGCAACTCTGCCTCAATCCTGTCCAAAGCCCGACTGCGTAACTTCTTGGATCATAGAAAACTGTGTGTCCTCACTGTAGCGGCCTCGTATCTCCACAAACCTAACTCTTACTTCTGCTCTGGTCTCCTCCTGTTTGTTCCTACAGAAATGCTATTCTAAAGTATGGTATAAAACGTATTTATCTCCATGGGGAATGTTCTAAAATATGGTTTCACATTCTTAGGAATCACACAGGAGACGTACCATCTCCAGAAGTCACACAGTGTTGCTTTAAAATGACCAATTTAAGATTTGTTTATTCGTTTGACCCACTATTAAGCATTTTCCAACTGTTAATGTAGTGTTATTAGGTTCTTTTTTCAGCCCAAGAGTTTATTATCATATCTGACAGTTTCAAATTCTCACTGTGGTCTTCCTGAGAGTGGTCACGTGTCTGCTCAGCTGATTTAAACAGGTTTTGGTGCTGTCTTCCTACCGGAGGAGGCAGGACGACAGCGCCATCTGCAGTCCGACTTCCTCAGGACAGTATCCCAGGTGTGTGAGAGTAAAAAAGCCCCCTCAGCCCCATTTATAGTCCCGCGGGCATGTTTCTGTATTTCGATGGCCTCTTTAAACCAGAGACAGTGTTTGTTTTCCTCTGTCCACCCAAAAGATAAAATAGAACCAGAGCATAAATGTAATGTCATATACGAAATATCCTGCATGTCCTGCAATAAAATATACATCGGGGAAACGGGGAGGGTGTTCAGTACACGAAAAAAAGAAACATAGGACAGAATGTGAGAAGGAAACACGAGCAACAAAACACAAAGCAGAACAAGAACAACTCAAATCGTCCGTTTCTGACGACTGTAAAAGGAGAACCACATTATGGACTGGGATGGCGTAAACATCACTGGGACAGAGGATTAAAGAGACAGTTGAAATATGGAAACGTGCCCACAGGACTATAAACTTAGACGAGGGGGTTTTTTTACTCTCACACACCTGGGATTCTGTCCTGAGGAAGTCGAACTGCAGATGGCGCTGTCGTCCTGCCTCCACTGGTAGGAAGACAGCTCCAAAACCTGTTTAAATCAGCTGAGAGACACGTCAAAGCAACATCACGCGATCACTCTGAGCAGTCGAAACTGTCAGGTATGAAAATAAACTCTTGGTCTGACAAAAGAGCCTAATAACATAATTTATCAAAAGACCAAATGAACCTCTTTGTTTGTATGTTAATGTAGTGAACACAACACAGTCCCTGGTACAGTGCATGTTTATTGTAAAGGTCTCACCGCCCGGGGCGTGGCTGTACACTCCTGGTCCTGACCCGGGGACATGGGGCAGCTGGAAGCTGAAAGCTGATTGGATGGTGGGGAGAGGGAGGCGGTTCTTGGGGAAACACTTCCTCATGATGAGACTGGAGGTGTTTATGAGAGGATCCAATGTCCGAACAGGGAGACACTCCTGAGAGACACAGCACAATACATGACTTTGTTAGTTTACTTGTCTTTGTTTGATGTCGTCTCAAACTTTGTGAAGTGTTTTTGAGCTGAAAACTGCTATAGAAAACCAAAGTATTACCAATGAATTATGTAGAGCCCAAGTGTGAAGGATGATGCCATTTCTGAATGACTTATCAGGAAAGTGTTGAGAACGTTCTGTTCACGATGTTCTAGGATTTGTTGTTCTCATTTCAGATGGAGGGCACAGGCCATGGGTTTTAGAATTGCAAAACATCAGGATCTTTGCTAAAGGAAATCATCTAAAACTAAATGCTAAAATTTTTTAAAATGTTGCATGTAACAAGAAGCCCATAAATATAACTCTATGAGAGATTCAACGAGCTCATTTAAAATTATAATAATGATAAATTATTATAATGAACCTCCACAGTCATTTACTCGCTACTTAAACTCAAACATTTTAAGTAGGGCTGCAATACTAACTGCAATTATATCAACATTTGCATGGAATTAGCTAATTCTAAAGGCTGTAATTATTAAGCACCATAATTTTATCCACAATCAACACAACCTGTCTTATTCGAGATAAAACGTGCTATCTGTGTAATTTAGATCTGTACAAGCATGTTCGGAAATGTGGTATTTGCATTAATATGTCAGTTCATATTAAAGTCTTTTTGTTAATTCCTTTGTATGTGATTAAAATGTGAACTTCCCAATTAGATATTAGACTTGTAACTGATATAAATATATATACATAAACCCGTCTGTACTCACTGTGGAGGTGTTGTACAGGACCCTCATCCCGTCGGCCTCGATAAACGCCTTCCTGCCGAGCTTTATGTTGGTGATGTTTCTGAGGCAGACCAGGAGCCCTTTTCGGATCAGCATGTGGCGATGCCGGGTGTCGTTACGGTGCCAGTCCGCGTACAGCGCCAGCAAAATGGGCATGTACCCACCGTCCACTGCACGCCGGGCATTGGTCTCTAAGAGATGAAAAAAAACCAAAAAAAAACTGTCAGATTTTGTTGCATGTAATGACTTCATAGATTTAATTGAGACTATAGTGGCATAAGTAAACACATTTTTAATAATTTGTAGGGGTGTAACGATGTCAAAGTCTCACGATACAATTTCATCATGGTATGAACCTCACTGTACGATATTTATTGCAATATCGTGGGAAAGCTCACGATATGCTGGGGAGGTTCACGATTAGGGATGTAACAATATCCAAATCTCTCGCTACGATATTTTCACGATATACATCTCACAGTACGATATTTATTGCGATATTATGTGGGGGCTAAACAGCTAAAACCTTTAATATACTACTTTTTCTTCTTACAATGCCTCAACAAGTCTTAACCCAAAGAACTAACACTTAAAAGTGATTATAACTGTTATTTCTTCTTGTGGGCTGCACTGAAATGGAGCAAAGGATCATGGTCTATGTAGTTCTCTGTTTATTGCTGCACCATAACTCTTAATTTAAGCAAAGAGACTTGTAATTCGTTATATTGTGATGGTCCATGGTTATTGTTACATCCCTAATAATTTGAGCCACTAAATTCAGAACTTAAACTTTATTATTAATCCACAAGAGAAATGACTTGGACACAGTAGCTCACACATCATAATATAATATAATAAAAAACATTATTAAGCATTATATTGCTGTGAAAGGAAATATCTTTCAGGGTTGTTCAGAAAGTTAAATGTTATGGCCCTGCCCACACGACCACTAGAAACAGTGGCTGCCTGGCAAGATACTGCAGATTCTCATGAGTTTGTGAAGTATCGTGAGAATCCATCTTACTGCAAATGGTTAGTAATAGCCTGCGTCAAAAAAAGATTATAGAGGGAACCTTTAAATTACTTACTTGATTTCAGCAGGGCTCCCAGTGCATCCAACGCCACCCTGTTAAGAACACACATACACAGTCACAGTAATGAGCTTTAACTTTGATCGATCACTGAATTACTTTCTCGAAAGATCTATATTACGGTAATTTTAATCTAAGTTATAATGTTGTATCCTCATCAAAAACAGACCTGCAGTTGTGTTTTGATTCACTCAGACAATGTTTAACACACAAACCCTGCATATGAAGTCTGAGTTCTTCTCAAACAGAAAACAATCATCAAACAATAGGCTCTAGAGGTGTGCAAAAATATCAAAATATCAGTATATCGTATTGTTTAATGTGATAATACTGTATTGATATCGTGGGCTAGTATTTTTTGGTATATTTTACTAAATTATTTTGTTACAGCGCTACAGTTTTGTTGCTTGTTCAGTGGAAGGAAACTCGTTTATGCAACACATTTGACATTTTCACAATTCTGATGAGTAAAATGGGTGTTTTTCATATTAACTTGGCACAAGAAGTGGTTTAACAAAGACTTTTAGTAGCACAGTCATGATATTTCCTTTATTTTATATTGAACCGTATGAATCGTTTTGAAATATATCATTTTGAATCGTACTGAATCGAAAGCTCACTGTATCGAGGTATGTATCGTATCGACAACTTCTTAATGATACCCAGCTTTAATAGGCTCTGTTCACGCTTACGTCACAAACCAGGAAGGCGCTTGGAAAGACACGCGATGACAACTTTCAGCGAGCTCTGTTCACGGTAATAAGTCTGACAAAATCTAGGAAAAATTAGAAAATGTCCCAGTTTTGTTCATCTCCATGTCATTGCAGAGCCCAGTTATGTTCGGCTAATCATAATTCATCATTTCCCCCACTGACGCACAACTCAGAGCGCGCTGGGTACATGCGATTAGAAGAGATGAGGGCACCGAATTCAAGATGATTCAGCACATACGCACACAGTCTTCATTTTACCGCTGATCACGTTTACTTCAGTGGGTTTAGTTTAGTTTAGTTTAGTTTATTAAGATCCCCATTAACTACTGAAACATCAGTAGCTATTCTTCCTGGGGTCTCCTCAAATTCATTACATAGAAATTGGCATGCAACACATAAACTTCACACACAGAGACACAAAGACACAGACACACAGACACAGATAGACACAGACAGACACACACACACACACACACACAATAACAAGACATGAAAGCTCAATGTATAGGAAAAGTAATAAATAAAATGTATTTATTTTTGTTATTTTCAAACAACAAAAATACTGGCAGTGCGTTCCATGCAGCCACGGCTCGATAACCAACAGTCCGCTGCATTTGATTGGTTCTGCACACAGGAAGTACACCACTTATATTTTGACTTTGACGAGTTTCGTAATTGTGGGTATCTGAGAAAAACACTAATTTGTTATAAATTATTTCTGGGATTTTAGTTAAAATTATATTTCTAATAAAAGTTAATAAATGATACTTGAGTTTGTATTTTACAGTCAGCCAGGTCAACGCATTGTGCATTAAGATTATATTAGTTCTGTACGGGCAGCTCAAAACAAGTCGATCACAGTCGGTCAGCGAGCCCAGTGTCAGGAACAACACCGGAAGTTGTCATCGCGTGTTTCCAAACGTCGTCCTGGTTTGTGACGCAAGTGTGGATGATTTCTGCCCTTGAATTGCCAATCTCTACTGAGCAAAAGGTAAACCGTAGCTGTTAACTTGAAAACAAATGCTTAAAATAATGCTTCGTGACATCACAAGGTGGAACCGAGTATTTTAAGCTTTGGAGATATAGACAGACTAATAATAAAGTGTTACTCAAGCATGTGTGAATGAAACAAAACACAATTCCAGGTCTGTTTTGATGAGGTAACAACATTATAACATGGCTTAAAGAGTGAATAAGTTTGTATAATATAAGACCTTTAAACTGCAAACACTTACTTAAGCAGACTGGTGTTTTTTTTAGTGTAGGGCGACAGAATCTTGAACATGAGCTCCACCACGCCATTCTTTCCCATTGAAATCGCATTGACGGCTAGAATAGACCAACGTGAATTCATTTAGTGCACTCTGAGCGATATAGAGAGCTGGAAAAGGTGGTGCAGAGGCTGTAGTTACTCACAGTTGGTGGAGTAGACCCTGAGCACTTGGAGACAGGGCAGCAGCAGTTTGGGGTTCTGCAGATTCTGTTTGATCAAGTTGACGGTGACGTTTAAAGCTCCGGTGAGACGCGCCGCCACACCGAACTTCCTGTCTGAACACACATTTGTACCTCATTACTTAAAAACTCAATAACATCAGATCTATACGTCTGAGGAAACTTCATTCTTTTGCCGAAGATAAATAAAACCTGTAACATCCCTGGGGATAGGAGTGTGCCAAAACACCAAAATATCGATATATCTTATTGTTTAATGTGATGATACAGTATCGATATCATGGGCTGCTGTATTTATATATCACTAAGAGTATTTTTTGGGATATTTTACTAAATTATTTTGTTACAGAGCTACAGTTTTGTTGCTTGTTCGGAGGAAGGAAAGTCGTTTATGCAACACATTTGACATTTTCACTGTTCTGAAGATTTAAAAGAATGAGAACTTTGCACATCAATTACTTGAGACGGGTGCATTGGAGGAGAGGGAGGAGCCCAGAAATATAGAGAAAAATCCAGCACACCGTCTTACTTGCAAAATGTGAGATTTATTAGGACAAAGGTGCAATGTTTCGAAACGTTGCACAGTTTGTCCTAATAAATCTCACATTTTGCAAGTAAGACAGTGTGTTGGATTTTTCTCTCTGTTTTGATGATTAAAATGTTTGCGTTTCATATTCACTTTGCACAAGAAGTGGTTTAACAAAGACTTTTAGTATCACAGCCATTATTTAACCTTTATTTTTTATTTGAACCATATTGAATCGATTTGAAATATATCGTATCACATTGAAAGCTCACTGTATCGAGATATGCATCATATCATGGCCTATGTATCAACGTATGTATCGTATCGGCAACTTCTTAATGATACCCAGCCCTACCTGGGGATCTATATTGCTGTTAAAATTGCTTAAATTCACAAAGTCTTCTGTTGTATATTATTTACATTTAATTGTGTTTGGTTTCTTAGTCTGGCTTTGTTAGTAATTTCAAGCCAATTCTGGTATTTTCCTTTTTATTTAAAGTATAGTATAGTATAGTATAGTATAGTATAGTATAGTATAGTATAGTATAGTATAGTATAGTATAGTATAGTATAGTATAGTAGTAATAGTAATAGTAATAGTAATAGTAATAGTATAGTATAGTATAGTATAGTATAGTATAGTATAGTATAGTATAGTATAGTATAGTATAGTATAGTACAGTACAGTACAGTACAGTACAGTATAGTACAGTACAGTACAGTACAGTACAAGTACAGTTACAAGTACAGGTACAAGTACAGGTACAAGTACAGGTACAAGTACTGGTACTGGTACTAGTACAAGTACAAGTACAGTATAGTACAGTGTAGTATAGTATAGTATAGTATAGTACAGTATAGTACAGTATAGTATAGTATAGTACAGTATAGTACAGTATAGTACAGTATAGTATAGTATAAGTATAGCATAGTATAGTATAGTATAGTATAGTATAAGTATAGTTAAGTATAAGTATAGTATATTTAAGTATTAATTATAAGTATAGTATAGTATAGTACAGTATAGTACAGTATACTATAGTATAAGTATAGCGTAGTATAGCATAGTATAGCATAGTATAGTATAGTATAGTATAGTATAGTATAAAGTATAGTTAAGTATAAGTATAGTATATTTAAGTATTAATAATAAGTATAGTATAGTATAGTATATAAGTATAGCATAGTTAAGTAAAGGTATAAGTATAGTACAGTATAGTACAGTATAGTACAGTACAGTACAGTACAGTATAGTATAAGTATAGTATAAGTATAGTATAGTATAGTACAGTATAGTACAGTATAGTACAGTATAGTACAGTACAGTATAGTACAGTATAGTATAGTATAAGTATAGCGTAGTATAGTATAGTATAGTATAAGTATAGTTAAGTATAAGTATAGTATATTTAAGTATTAATTATAAGTATAGTATAGTATAGTACAGTATAAGTATAGTATAGTTAAGTATAGTATAGTTAAGTATAAGTATAGTACAGTATAGTACAGTACAGTACAGTACAGTACAGTATAGTATAAGTATAGTGTAGTGTAGTATAGTATAGTATAGTATAGTATAAGTATATTTAAGTATAAGTATAGTATATTTAAGTATAAGTATAGTATAGTATAGTATAGTACAGTATAAGTATAGTATAGTTAAGTATAAGTATAAGTATAGTATAGTACAGTATAGTATAAGTATAAGTATAAGCTGCGTTTTTGTATGAAAAGCGCTCTTTAAATAAAGTTAGATTTGATTTGTATATTAAAAGGAACTGTATGTGAGATTTATTTTAAATTTCATAAGCACACAAACTGTCTGTGTCCCCTGGTATGAGGTTAAAATCAAATGTAGTTTTTACTAATAACAATTCTATTCCTGATTTACACTTAATTACAAAAACACTGGACATGATGGACAAGTTGGTGTCATAGTTTGGTGTTGCCAGTTTCAAGGCTGAAATCCAGTTGGTTTAAGCCTAAAATGCCTCTCTGACCTGAATCATCACCACCTAAACCCCAGCGCCTGCAGCCAGTCATTAATCAGTGCCTCTGCCGTAGTCGTATGTGCCGCCTCCATATAGAGAGAATGAAAAAACCTGTATGTTGAACTGTAAACTGTAAGACATACGTACAGTTCCATTAACTTGGATTTTTAACTTATTATTTGGAAACGTTTAACTCCGCTGACAAATTTCTTCCACAGAAAAAGCAGTGCAGTGTACATTAACACAATGCAATGTCAAAACTAATCAGATGTACAGTGTGTCCCTAATCGTGGTCAGGCCCATAGCCGGTGGCAGTGTCCCAGACGTGTCCTTTAAAGGCCATTGGGTTCAGGGCTTTAAAAGAACATGGGACTGTTACTCTTGGAAGGCACTGAGCATTTCACTGCAGCGAGGACAGAGGCCAGAGGGTTTGTGGAAACTCTGATACGAAAATATGGCCAATTTTGGAACGCAGGACTGTGTGAGCGGAACGGTGCCTGCTGATTAGGCCTGTCAAACAGAACCTCTCTTCCAGCTATTTCATACTGAATACAGTCGGGATTCGTTCGTCCTGATGGATCTTTTGTACAAGGCTTTCATTTTTTGTTTCCTTCACATTTTAATTTACACAGCAGCTCTCAAACTTTTCACACCTAGTACCAAGAAAATAGGTTTCCAAGTACCAACCAGGTGTAAACCAGTTCTAAACCAGGTCTAAATCTGCTCTAAACCAGGTCTACACCAGGTCTGCACCAGGCCTAAACCAGTTCTAAATCAGCTCTAAAACAGGTCTAAACCAGGTCTAAATCTGCTCTAAACCAGATCTAAATCAGGTTTGAATCTGCTCTAAACCAGATCTAAACCAGGTCTAAACCAGGTCTAAACCAAGTCTTAACCAGGTCTAAACCAGGTCTAAACTAGGTCTAAATCTGCTCTAAACCAGGTCTAAACCAGGTCTAAACTAGTTCTATAACAGATCTAAACCAGGTCTAAATCTGCTCTAAACCAGGTCTACACCAGTTCTGAATCAGCTCTAACAAGGTCTAAATCATGTCTAAGCCAAGTCTATAACGCCCCTTTTCCACCAAACTGCTACCAGTTCTGGGGCAGTTCCCATTTCAGAACAACTCATTCTGAAAATGCTCCTGGTGCTGAGACCAAGTTTATTTATTGTTTATTTAAATATTTAAATAAAAGACAAATACAACAAATTCAGTAATCTGCTGCAGGTATCACAGTGATTACAGTCTAGACTTCAAAACACCAGTCCCCAGAGAGGCTTTTAAACAGTTCACTAAAACTACAATTGCATAGAGAATAAACAGTATGACAATATCACAAACTCACACTGTCATGTTTCTCTCTTACTCAGACCCCTCTCTCTCTGCACCAGTTAAGAGCTGGACTAGAACTGAGATCCAGTTCCGGTGAAGTAGTAAACATAGGCTACGTTCAGACTGCAGGGCTTAACGCTCAATTCCAATTTTTTTGTGAAATCCGATGTTTTTGCGAGGTCGTTCACATTTCCAATTAAATGCGACTTGTATTCGATCCTCAGTGTGAACAGTAAACGGCCCGAAAGTGTCCCGCATGTGCACTGGAGACACGATGACGTCAACCACAGTGAGCGTGCTCTGTGTTTACGGAAGTTGTCCAAACATGGACGCGAGCATTGAGCACCTGAGTTCCTCTCGTACCGGAGCCAGAACATGAACAACTTACTTGTTTTAAGGAGGAGATTGAGAAGGAGAAGGAAGAGGTTTTTTGGTCGTGGCGTTTTGTAGGACAGCGGCAGTGACGTCCGTTGAAAGGAACGTGTGGAGGCGGATACGTAGCCAAGAGTGGTGAGTGGTGATTCGCTTCAGTGACATGGAGTTCATCAGTGTTGTGCAAGTTCACACTTTTCATGAACTAGTTCAAAGTTCAGTTCACACTTGCTCAAAGTGAATAGTTCACGTTCAGTTCACAATTTTAATTTTGAACAGAAAGTTCAGTTCATTTTATATTAGATGAGATCTGTAAATGAAAGCTGCATTTATTTTTTCAAACTGACTTCTAGTTTACAAGCTTTACAAGATACACTGTTGGACAAGTGACTTTAAAACTGTAATGTGTTATTTATGACTTGTTACTGTCATTTCAAAGTCATTTGTTACATTACAGTATTACTGTATTAAAAATGTAAAACATTACACGACTATTGCAGCACTTTTAATTTACTCTCACCAAAAGAACTGTTAAGATGCTGAACTTTTGCGCCGTATATGGACTGAACCAGGACTAAACTAGGTCTAAACCAGGTCAGGACTAAACCAGAACTGAACCAGGTCCAAACCAGGACTAAACCAGGTCTAAACCAGACTAAACCAGAACTGAACCAGGTCTAAACCAGGACTAAACCAGAACTGAACCAGGTCTAAACCAGGACTAAACTAGGTCTAAACCAGGTCTAAACCAAGACTAAACCAGAACTAAACCAGAACTGAACCAGGACTGAACCAGGTTAAACCAGAAAAACCAAGACTAAACCAGGACTGAACCAGAATTGAACCAGGTCTAAACCAGGACTGACCCAGGACTGAACAGGTCTAAACCAGGAATAAACAAGACTAAACAGGACTGAACCAGAATTGAACCAGGTCTAAACAGGATGAACCAGGACTGAACCAGGTCTAAACCAGAACTGAACCAGGACTAAACCAGGACTAAACCAAGACTAAACCAGGACCAAACCAGGACTAATCCTGGACTAGAACTTGGAATCTAGGACCGCCCCTGAGAGAACCCCGAGTGCGATCGGGCGTCAGCTGCGTTTAACTCGGTGGAGCGCGGACTTCTGCGTCGGTCCTTTCGCTCAGGATCACGGTCTACGCGGGCGCACCTCCGGCGTTTCACCGCTGCTGATATCGCGGTGATTTTAGCAAATTTGTATGAAGAAAAACGAAAAACCCACCATTTCAATCCAGGTTAAAAAAGCATTGTGACGCGCGTTACTGAATATGTACCAAGTAAAATAATACGCGCGCGGAGCAGCACGTCCTGTGCGTGTAGATTTCAGAAAATAGGATCCATTCTGTTTTTTGACGCTCTACACGAGCGTAGGCGCGTATCCCCGTCAAAATACACAGAGAGCATGAATCTATTGTAGTATTTGTGCATTTACCATCAGCACATTGTGCTCCCTGGGCAGTTGTGTATCATGTGAAAGAGCCCAGATCCACATACACTGTTAATTAGTGCTTTGAAATTTACTTTTGAAATCCTTGCGTTTGCCGTGGTCAGCCTGTACAGAAGGTAAATACAAGCAGCTAAACGCGCCCAGTCAAGTTTGACTGACTTCCCATTGAGAGACACAAGAGCCCGTACGTTCCGCTAAAGCTGCCGGTGGAGCTGCCTTCGCGTTGACACGCGGCTGTGGTTTCGCGGGGTAAAGTGCGAGCAGATCGTCACTCGTCAGGTGAAAACAAAATTCCGACGTTTAACTGAACCCCAACAGTGACGTACGTCGTTCATCACACATAATTTGAACAAATTCACGAAATTTACAAAAGAAAAGTTCACTGAAAAATCTGTTCACGCGTTCTTTTGAACTCGTTCATGCACAACACTGGAGTTCATTAACAACTTTCGCCTACTTCAGCGCAGAATAGTGACGTTTGTGTCTTGTTGATAACGTGTAGGTTGGATGAATGCGCTTTGGCCGTTCACACTGAAGTCGCATGTCAAAAGATCAGATATGTATCGGTTTCAGGAGCACATATCCAAGTGTCCTGGGTCGCATTTGAAAAAATCGGATCTGTGCCGTTCAGACTGTCATTAAAAGATCGGATACAGGTCACATAGAAGCCAAAAAATCGGATTTGGGTCACTTCAGGCTGCAGTCTGAACGCAGCCATAAAGTTACATGTCATAAGCATCCACTTACTAAAAGTGAATAATGAAGAAGGCAAAACAAAATCATTCTTACCTGAACTACAGCAAAACTAAGGAGCAGTGAGCAACAAGAGAAACACTAACTGCTATCTGGTAAACAAAGCTCTTCTTATTTAGTGGAAAAACAAATCACCCAGAACCAGCACCTTGGAGGAAAAGGGGTATAAAAGGTCTATAACAAACAAAAAACATTTCGGGCAAACCTCCAAATGATGAAATATATGATGCAATAAAGACAATTTTCTCTTCACTACCTCTGAGGGTACCACATTTTGGGACCCACTGACCTAAATAACAGATTTGAACCTCGGTGTATTGACTGTTTTGCCAGCGATTGGACGTGGTGGTGTGCCTTACCTTTGGGGCCGACCTTTGCCAGCAGTGAGTGCAGCTGCAGCATGAGCTCTTCACTGGGGGGCATCTCTTTACTCACAGAGAGAAGAGTCTGAAACAGTATTCCTGTTCCTCCTTTAGACACAAACACCCCCACTCTGCGACCGCGGCCTGGACAAACAAACACAGACTGAGAATACCACAGCTAACAAGCTTATTATGAACAAAAGAGGATAACACACTATCATATTATTACATTTAAACATGTTTGGATAGTAGTATGTTAACTTCTAGTACTGGTACCTTTTAAAGCAGACTTATATGTAGTCTTAGTGACAAATGTTGGAGGAATTGTGGACTTGTGGGGGACCAATCTCACATATTTTGGGACTGCCCCCACATACAACGTTTCTGGATTGATGTTACAGATGTTCTTTTTGTTTCATTTGTATTTTATTGTCTTTTCACAATGTGGATTTACATGATAATTAGGACAATCAAAGTAATTTACAGATTGTCCATATTAAGTCAAATCTGAATGTCCAATGTCCATAGTTAAGCATTTCCACATTTCTCATTCCTACTTACACAAACTGTAATGTAATTTTCTTAAGAACAAGTAATTTAAAAGAAAGAAAATAAAACATTGTAGCTTTAAACCGGGTTGTAAGTTCAGTCTTTGTTATCCAGACACTCATACAGGTTCTACACAAAGTCAGATCTATGTTGTTTAATATAATGTAACCATCCTTTCCAAATTTTCTTTAATTTATGACCTTCCAATCTAAGTGAGGCGATGTTACAGATGTTCTACAGAATATATTGGCTGTTGACCTCTCGTTGGACCCACTGATCTTTTTGCTTGACACATTTCCTGATGGTGTCTCTCATGATCAGTGCTTTCTGTTGCATATTCTTTTAATGACTGCAAGAAAAATGATCACAATCTACTGGCTGAAAACTGAGACACTGACCATTGATCAGTGGATATCAAAAATCAGACATGTTTATACAAATGGAGCTGTTAATCGCTCAACTACAGCTCAAGGTGCCAACTTTTGAAAAGAGGTGGGTACAATTTTCTGGGCTATTAGGCGCTCTCGATTATAAGACCAACTGTCATTAAATGTGTTTTTTTTTTTGGAACTTTTTTTCACAAATAAACCGCACTGGACTTTAAAGGAAACACAACAGTTGGATGGGTCAGTGGGACTTTGTTTGTTCGTTCACGGTGACTCTTGGTCTTTGTTCAGTTGTGGCGTGTAGGGAGGGTGCTGTCTGGGATCGCTGGATTGTCGGCGTGTTCGCAGTGACTCAGTTGTTCAGTTGTGACTCAGAGTGGCACATTGCACTCGCTTTTTCGGTTCGTTCCTCCGTTCCGTTCCTCGTCGGCGTGGTGGAGTGATGAGTGTGTCTGTGGTGTGTTTTGGCTGTGCGGTCGCTGTCTGCTCCGTGTGTGTGTTCGTGTGTTCTGTGGTGGTGGTGCGGCTTTATAGTTTACTGAAGTCGTGCTGGGACACCGAGTGGATTTGTGTATAGGGCGCTCTGGATTGTGGGGCGTGCGGCCGTTTTTTATCCTAGTTTAGTCCTGGTTTAGATCTGGGTTTAGACCTGGGTTTAGACCTGGTTTAGACCTGGTTTAGACCTGGTTTAGACCTGGTTTAGACCTGGTTTAGACCTGGTTTAGACCTGGTTTAGACCTGGTTTAGACCTGGTTTTAGTCCTGCTTTAGTCCTAGTTTAGTCCTGGTTTAGATCTGGGTTTAGACCTGTGGTTTTAGTCCTGGTTTAGTCCTAGTTTAGTCCTTATTTAGACCTGGTTTAGTGTCCGGCAATGAGTGGAATTACCGAGAAAAAAAAAAAAAAAAGGGGGATATAGCCCCAAATGCAAAAACTGGAAAATACCACAGTGTAATCCATTTATTTCAACAAAGTAACTGTAATCCAATTACCACTCACTGAAACAGTAACTGTAACTGAATACAGTTACTCATAATTTGTACTCTGATTACGTAACTCCGGTACATGTAATCTGTTACTCCCCAAACACTGCATACTTTGGGACTGCCCCAACATACAACGTTTCTGGACTGATGTTAAAGATGTTCTACAAAACATATTGGACCTGCTGATGGACTCAAAGATATTTTTTGCTTGATACATTTCCTGATGGTTTCATGATCAGTGTTTACTGTTGCATATTCTTTTAATGACTGCAAGAAAAATTATCACAATCTACTGGCTGAAACCTGAAACACCGATATGGATATAAAAAAATCAGACATGTTTATACAAATTAACTGTTAACAGCTCAAGTACAGCTTAAGGTGCCAACTTTTGAAAAGAGGTGGGGTACAATTACTGACTTTTTCAAACAAGACACTTACGCCCTAACATGCCTTATTTTTTCTTTTGAGAGAGAAAAAAATAAATAAATATATAAATTATGTTAGGGCCCAGTCTCAGGACACTGTTGATGTGAACTGATTTATGGCAATAAAAAAAAGCAGACTTATTCTCCAAAATTGACTTTTTAGAGCTTTTTTAAAGTTGTATTTGGAGTGATTTGTCCATGTTTGAGCAATCTTTAATTAGTGTGATTGAATCGCTTATTTTCAAGATGCCATATTGCCGATTAAACCTTATTCCCTGTCCACTTCCACTGTCATTCTTCAATTTTGTATTTGTATTTTGTATTTGTTTATTTATTTCATTCATAAAGTACAAAAAGACATTGACAAGAGCAGAAAGAAGGAGCAGAAAGAAGAGAAATCTTATGTTATCTGCCCCTCTTTCCCTTTTTTTATTTTCTTAATCAGTGATACACACAAGGTTCGGCAGTGTCATGTAGTCATTTTGGTACAAGCGAAAAAAAAAAAAGAAAATCACTACTCGCTAGTGTGATCTGCAGCTATCCATCGGAGGAGCGGACAACTCTATGGCGCTTTGTTGTGATCAAGTTTACAGCGACGTCAGCTTCTGTTGGGCAATGCAGCTTTCCAACACAGAGGTCAGTGGATTTGTTTCTTTTATTAAGTTGTTTTAGATGCATGTTGCAGTTTAAAATGTGCTAATTATAACACATGTGATAGATTATAACTGTATATAACTGTACAGCAGACACAAGGTCCTCTTTAAAGATAGCCACACATAACTTACCAAGAGTGAGCAGCTCGGTGAGAATGCTCAGAATGTTCAGGATGGTCTGGACATCACGAGTGTTCTGTTAAAAATAAAAATTAAAAAATCACATTTAAAGGGCCCATATTACGCTGTTTTCTAATCTATGTTATCATGTTGTTTGCTCATAAACAGACCTGGAGTTGTGTTTTGTTTCATTCATACATGTTTAACACACAAACCTGCATATTTAGGCTGTGGTCTTCTATCAGACAGAAAACACTCTGTTCCACCTTGTGATGTCATGCTGTAATACAGGAAGAGCTCCCATGTGTTCTTAAACTTCACACATTTTCACTAAAATTATTTGGATGATTTCAGCTCTGGAAGTGCCAATCTCGACTGAACTAAAGGTAAAAAAGTAGGTGTCAACTTGAAAATTACAGCTTCGTGACATCAAAATGTGGAACAGAGCATTTGGAGCTTTGGAGATACAGACAGACGAATAATAAAAGGTTACGCAAACGTAATGTGAATGAAGCAAAACAAAACTCCGGATAGGTTTTTGAGGAGGTAGCAACACTTAAACATGGCTTAAAGCTCACAAGAGTCAGTTTTGTGTAATATAGGAAGTTTAATACATGCTTCCTGAATTTCGGATTTCTGGTCATTGTGCAATGCATACTGGGTAAGGCCCTCCGAAAAAGTGAGCATCAAATCGCCATGTTTGATTTCCCAGGGAGATGGGTCTATTGTCAAAGCCGAAACTTTTCTAGTCTTTTGAACCATATCATTTTTGTTTCTGGTTCTGATATTGTCATATTTTAGTTTTGGGATTCGGACATCGTTAATTGTGTGGTTGTTGGATGTACTAACAGTGGAAAACGGCTTGAGAAATTTGTTTGCAAACTCCATAAATGCAAAAGGGAATCAGAGCTGTGTGACTGCAAACCTCTGTTCCAAAATGTTTCCGTTCCCAACGGAATTGAAAAATAGTGAAAGGTGAAGGCGATGGGCAGGATTGATCCACAGGAAGGACCAAAAAAGGTAAGAAATCATCCCGAGCTTGCAGCGAACATTTTGTATGTGGAGCGCCAACAAAGCAAAATCCCGTTTGTTAAGCGAGAGGAGCAGAAAGACAAACAGACTGAGCTGCACTTTCTTGTTCTTCTGGCTTTACAGCAACATCACGTCTTGGTCTCTTTGCAGTGGAAGGTGTTTCTTGGTGAACAGCTGGTGCCTTTCGCTTTGGCGCTGATTTTTTAAATTCGTAACCAAGGTTGAGCGAGGGATCGGGATTTTGCTTTGTTGGCGCTCCACATACAAAATGTTCGCTGCAAACTCGGGATAACTCGGGAGCGTCAGGAGAGGAAAAACATGAGCTGCTATTTAAGGAGATTTAACAACAGACCTCCAGAGACGCCAGGATCACCTCCATGCCGCTCGACCCTTTGGACATCACCTCCTTCCCGCTCTTCTCTGCAACACAACAAACACAACAAAATAGTTTTCATCTAGACGAGGTATTAAAGGTGCATTGTGCAACTTTCCTCTTTAATCTGACATTTTATATAGAAGTACCACAAAATACCAAAACTTCTCCTTTCCGCTGTTGTCTCATATAAATCCTTCTCATCTAAATAAAAGGATTAAGTCAAATTAATGCAAATTTTAGTCGACTAATACACTATAGAGATCAAAATATGACCAGGTTGTCATAGGAATAAGATCACGATTCAACTTTTATTACAGCATCAGCCTCCTCTACTTCAAAACAATATTAAGTGATTAACTGAGTGAGAACAAGTCAACCATTTTATTTTGATCTAGGGCCCCTGTTGGATGTCTTTTAAAATTACATTAAAGATTCAAGACTAGAGCACATGGCGTACCTTCCACATCCAAGCACAACACAGACGGCCGGTACTTTCTGCTGTAGTAATTCATCTTTTAAAAACATTTGCAAAACTACAAAATTATCCAAAAATAAATAGTAGGGATGCAACGATAAGTGAAATGTCGTGATATCGTATCGTCCAAAGTCTCACAATAATATCGTGGGCTGTCACAATATATTGAATCACAAGTTTCTTTGCTTAAATGCAGGTTTTATAGTCGCAACAACTTATGAACATAGGAAACTACATATCCCATGATTCATTTCAGTGCAAACAACATGAAGAGAGATGTTTTTACTTGAATTCTTGGGATTATGATGGAAATAATTCACACCAAAATCTTGTCAAGGTATTTTAAAAGCAAAAAAGTGTCCCATCTACAATTATATCAGCCTCTTCAAAATATCCCAATAAGTATCGTACCGTGAGATGCATATCGTGATTATATTGCATCCTGAGATTTGGATATAATTACATATAATTACAATCCATGTATCATTCGTTCATTCGTTTTTCAATATAAAACCAATGAAAAAAAATGAAAAAACTACTGTTTTCTTCATTATTTGTCTCCAAAACCAAAATGAAAAAAATGGATAACAATTAGTTTTTTCAGTTTTCGATTTTGTGTTTAAATGAAGAATGGAAAAAACGAATAACAGCCGTTTCCTGTGTACGTGACTTCCGTGACTGTGATGTAAGACTTTTGCACCACATACAGACTGAACCAGGACTAATCCAGGTCCGGGACCAGAGCGGGACCAGAGCGGGACCAGAGCGGACTCCGAGCTTTGACTCCGAGCCTCCGGCCTGGTCCCGGTCTGGTCCCGGTCTCAGTTCTGGTCTCAGTCTCAGTCTGGTGCAGAAGTGCATTTTTTTCGTTTTCTTATTTTTGGTTTCATATTGAATGAATGAATGATACACAGATTCATTACATCCGTAATAAATAGATTACAAAAAAATCTCAAGTTTAACCCCAAAATTTTGACAAAAATCACCAAAACTTTATGATTAAAGGTGCAATATTTATATAAAAATAAGATGTAGAAAAAAATCATTCTAGGGACGAGTCAACCGTTTTATTTTGAGAGCTCTGATATTTCCACAACACACAGTAGTTACACAGACAGGTCATAGTCAGTGAGACAGAAACAGTGTGCTCCTGTCCTCTGTCTTTTCACCACACTCTAAATCACTGTAACATAATATAGAAACTAATACAGGAAGTGCTCCACTGTGTTTTAACCTCCATACACCTTCACAAGAATCATTTAGATAATTTTAGCCCTGGAATTTCTTCTTCTCTCTACTGTTCAAGACAAGATGTAGACAGACTAATAATAAAGGATTACTCCAACATGTGTGAATGAAACAAAACACAACTCCAGGTCTGTTTTGAGCAACATTCTAACATGACGTAATGCTCAGAAGAATCAATCCTGTGTAATATACTAGCAGGACCTCAGTTATGAATGTTTTTATTGCAAGGAAAATAGCTTGAAAAACATGCATTCTTCATCTGAGCAGGTGGAGGACCTTTCACCAGAAAAGTAACATAGGGCAGCTTTAATTTGTTCGGTCCCAGTGATCAAATTAGCATATTTAGGTTACATAATGTGCTCTATAAGGATGTAACAATAAGTGAAATATCGTGGTATCGTATCGTCAAAGTTCTCACAATAATATCATCACAATATATCAAATAAGAAGTCGATGAGCTTAAATTAATTGTTATAGTGCAGCAATCACTAAAAAACAGAGGGAACTACACGATCCTTTGCTCAGTTTCAGTGCAGATTACGTGAAGAAATAACTGTTATTACTGAGTCTGAGCGATCTACCAGGTCCATCAGGCTGTCCACACCTACAAGAAGTAACAACAGCTGATATACGACACGTCACCACCAACACCGGGACAGTTCTGAAGATGACAGCAGCAGCAGCCGAAACATGTCAACAAGGTAAATACACTTTACTGCATTGTCTTTAAAAAGAACCCAAGAAGTTAAAGTATATAAGACGACAAAATGAACATCATCGGCTTAACTATCAACTGTTCTTGGAGATCTATGTGGCATGTTTTGGGTTTTGGAGATGTAGACAGACTAATAATAAAGAATGACTCCAACATGTGTGACTGAAACAAAGCACAACTCCAGGTCTGTTTTTGATGAGATAACAACATTATAACATGGCTTAAAGCTCATAAGAGTCCATTCTGAGTAATATAGGACCTTTAATATTCGATGTGCACAGTCGGGCTGCAAGATATGTTCAAATTTGACAAGTCCCAAAGTGCAAATCACATTGTATGCCATGATTTAGTTAGGTCAAACATAATATTCTCTGCCAGCAAATATATCTTATCTCCACTGGGCTCTTATTCTGTATAAAAGCTGCTAACCCTGTCGTTTTGACCTCTACGAACCTCCTGTTAGTTTAGCAGGTTCAGATTTCAGTCTTCTCTCCAATGTTAACGCTCCTGTGTTTAAATTGCGAGCTGTGAACTTTATTTAGATTTGAAAACTGAAAATGCAAATCAGAGAAATGAATAAAAATGGTTTGGATCGAGAATAAAAACGCACATCACTCGCCAAGGAACGTTAACAAAAGCGAGAAGACTGAAATACGATGTGCTAAACTTGTATAAGAATTCGTACGGGGAGGGCATCTGACACACAGAATCATTTCAGAACAAGTGTGTAGAGATCTACACTACAGGGTTATCTTATTTAAAACCTGCTAAAACTCGATCCAATAGAGATATAACATTATATATATATATTTTATAGGTATTTTTATAGGTTTCAACATTACATTGCCATCCTACTTTAGTTATGAATGAATTCTGTTGAGTTTTTGCATGTTTTATTTTGTGTTGACTTTCGTGTTAAGCTCTTTCGTCACCTTGAGTGCTGTAGAAAGCTCTATAAATAAAGTTTGATTGACTGAAGTTTGACATCTGTTTCAATTAGCTATCCAGTTAAATGTTAGTAGCTATGCATACCAGTCACTTAGACAAAATATAAAAGATGACGGCCATTACGTATTTATAGGTTTCTGCTGTATCTATGGCCCCTATTGGATGTCTTGTAAAATTACATTAAAGATTTAAGACGTGAACACAGCGCCTACCTTCCACATCCAAGCACAACATAGACCGCCGGTGCTTTCTGCTGTAATAATCCATCGCTTAAAACCATTTGCGAAACTTCAGAATTATCCAAAAATAAATAAATGACCAAAAAATCCCAAGTTTAACCCAAAAATTTACGCAAAAATCACTTATCAAATCAATTAAAAGCGTAATATTTATTCAAAAATCTCTTGTAGAAAAAAAATGGTTGAAGGGACTGTCCGGCACAGCTTTGCGAGTGTTTCCAGGGCTTACTGTACAATGTGTGGAACTAAGGGCAAAGTGGAATGAAGCGCTATCAGTGCCTCCCCGTGAAAACTGAAGCCGGCACCTGGTCCTATGGAAATGACAACTACATATGATACTTCGACTTCCCATGCTAGCTGTGTTTTTTTTTTCCCCAAAGCAAGCGGGGGGCACGAGACCGGAGCGTATAGTTTGTAATGTAACCTCTGCACAGATCGGTTTTAGCAAATGCATGGGACAAATTTAACTTAATTTACAGTAGAAGTGCAAGGTCATGACTGGGCTATTCTTGGGGTTCAGCGTCCTGGTTCTAGGTGACATTTTGAGGACGTTTTTTCATCATTCAAAAGATTAAAATTTTAGATATGAACTGATAATTATTTTTCTATGACAACACAGCTATTTCTAATCACTCTTAAACCCATGGATTTTAAAATATCGTTTAACTTAAATGGCTCATATTACGCTGTTTTCTGATCTGTGTTTGTATTAAAAACAGACCTGGAGTTGTGTTTTGTTTCATTCACATGTTTAACACACAAATCCTCCATATTTAGGCTGAACCTAAATGATGTCATGTGGTAATACAGGAAGTGCGCTACTGTGTTTTTAAACTACCCTATTAATACATTTATGCTAAAAAATATTAAAACAATTGACCCCAACTGCATTTTTTGTAAAGAGTATCCCAAAACAATAAGTCATCTTTTAGGGAAATGCACTATTAGCAAAACTTTTTGGAAAGACTGATTAAAATTTATTAAAGATCATATTGTCCCTTAGCCTGATTCATCAGCCGGTTTCACTTTGTGGAAACCGTCTGACCTCGCAGCATTAGGATTCGTTCACTCGACGGTAGGCAGGTACTTTTTTATTTAACCAATCGCTGCTTTGGACATGACGTATGTAATGTGCCGGAACACTCAGTGGTGTCCAAGTAGTTGCAGGCTTCACAGCTCTTCTCTGATTGGCCGGTGTGTGGTCTACAACTTCCGGGGGTCTTGCAAACCGTCTAGTGTTTTCTGATTCCTGATCTAGTCGCTGGATGAATCTGAGAGGAGGCACTAGGTAACGCCAGCCTAGCTAATTGAACCTAGCTTTTCATTAAAATTCGAACATATTATTTTTGGTTTACATGAAAATAATTTAGACTCAAATTTAAAAAAAGGTAATTAACTTAATTATTATATTTGGCAAAT